CTCTCTCTCTCTCTCTCTCTCTCTCTCTCTCTCTCTCTCTCTCTCTCTCTCTCTCTCTCTCTCTCACACACACACTCTATGCAATTAAAAAAAAAGAACACTAGATGTTTGTTTACATTAACAAGAAAAAACACAAAAAAAAAAAAAAAACTAACAAGGACATGATCATTAACAGTTTGCCTGCCAAATATCAAACAACTGACACCAAACGGTGACCTAGTTACAGATTTAAGCAGTTGAGCAGAACTTCATGAACAGACTATAGTTGTCTACAGCAGTTCACTTTTGTGTGCGTGTTGTGTTTTGTCTCGTGAGTTCATTTCTGTTAAGACATCTTGGTTGCTCTTTTTATCCGCCCACTGTTTTCAGGTATTCTCAAGTTAATGCACAAAGGCCCATATTTCACATCAGTTCTATAACGGGCGTCGGCTCTGTGGCTAAGTCGATGCGAACGCTTTCCTAATGCCGTGATAACGGATTCGATCCCAGCTGCGGGCCATGTACCTTGCGTTAGTTTCGACAGTGGTATCAAGAAAGCCGACCGTCCAGTAAGCAATGGCAAACTATTGAACGTAAATTGGACTAGAAAAACCACACAACAGCCAGGAGCTGTTGGGGTTGGTTTTGCAACGTCCTGTAAAGGATACTCAACTAACCTCTATAACGGGCATATGATGCTTGACTCATCTTTGTATAGAGCAGTAAACATTCAGTCGGTGATGTGGTTGGTCAACATAAAATCGACCGCATTTACTTCCCAGTACACAAGCTGGTGGGAGCAGCTGTGGCATAGCAGCTAGACACTCGCTTCGGGCCCGAACGTGGTGGGTTCAAATCCGCATCGAGCCGGATTTAGTCTAGCTCCAAGGTCGACCCAGCCTAAAATTGGCACCAGGTATAATCTTAGAAAGTAAAAGCGGCCGGCGTGATGTTGACATGTCACTCCCCGAGGTGATATATCAAATACAGGTCTGACACTATATGTTCAATGACGTGGAAAAGCGTTTTTTTTTTTATTTTTTTTTAATTTTTTTTTTATTTACGACCTGGTGTAAGTTATTTACATTTCCTTTACATGATCTCAGAAACCAACACCAGCTTTTCTTCTGTTTGTAATTTTACTAGGCACTTTTACCTTCAGTAGTTTGCCATTGCTTTCTATATGGTCAACGATCAAGCCACTGTCGAAATCAACATAAAGCGGTTTGCTGCTTGCAACTAAATCAAACCTGGTAAGTCGGAGTTATGAAACTGTGTTGATTATCCCTAATCCACAGACAGTGAGAGCAAAGTAGAACATTAGTTCACAACACTGGACATAAGCTGGACATTTGCTTGTGTTTGACCAGCAGTCAGTGGGTTAATTATTTGTTCGGAGTCAAAAACAGATTATAAAACGGATTGAAAGAGGGTAAATAAACTCATAACTGGTAAATTTAGAAATTAAAGAATGATTACATAAACACCTTGAAAATAAAATTAACTCTCTAAAATGGAATGAAAAACACCTTACAATTAACATTAACATATCACGGTAACATTATTATACACATTACATATTAAATTAACTGACTGAAATGGAGTAAACAAACATATAGCAGATAAAATTAACTGTTTACAGTGGGATAAATAAAAATAATTGCAGATAAGGTTAACATAATAAAGTGAATTAAGTAAAATTAAAAAGATTTAAAATGAAGTAATTACAAATTATTCAGACTCAAGTGGGGAAAAAAAAAAAGCATTAATTTACAGATACAGCTAACAGGGGAAAATGTGGTTAAAAAAACCTTACAGATAACATTAACCGATTATGGTGATGTAAATAAATACAATAGGTTTAAATGGTAACAATTAGATTTTTACAGGGTAGAAAATGAACGCTTCACAGTTAAAATAATCGATGAAGAATAAATAAATAAAAATGCTATAGGATACTTATCTTCTTGTGCAACATAAAAGCTGTTACATAAGCCATCTCGGTACACCTTACGTTTCCAGGCCCATCTGGGTCAGCTCCGCCCACCTACACACATATGTTTGACGGAGTCCGGTCAGGGTACTGTGACTGGACGTTCAGTCTCTGCCTCAACCTATGGATCTGTTTATAAACCGACACAGATGTAATAGTATCACTGCCATGCGCAGCATCTGCCCTAACGACGAACACGCCAAATGGTATGACTTCATATCCTTATCTAAACGGATGGACATGGGGGTGCAGCTTGGAGCTGCAAGAAATGAACATTTCACTAATGGAACAAGACGTTTCATTAACCAACACAGAACAGGCGTCATAAGTCTTTTTACACTTGTGGAACTTCTGAGGAGGAGATCGGAGCACGTATGGATCTGTCCGGAGTGCTGTGATGATAATCCTTGCTAATCAGTAATCACTAGATGTCACTTTAAAAAAAAAAAAAAACAGGTTACACATAAAGATAACCGACTGTGTGAAATAATTAAGCACTAGTAAAATCAATCAAATAATGTACCAGCAACAAAAAGAGGTTTTAACTCAGGTAATGCTTCTGAGATCAATGATTATAAACAAAGCATATTCAATTAAATGAGAAAACAAAACTGGCAATCACAAGAGAAAACGCTTGCGTGCGGATCGGAAGGTTGTGGGTTCAAGTCCTGACATAGCGGGACTCTTTACAAAAAATGTCCTTGGCCCCCAGGTCGACCCAGCCTTGAGTGGGTACTATGCATAGCCCCTGGAATTCTTATTCTTTTTTGCGTTCACCAGCTGTAAACTCTGGTGGAAAGTTCTGGTTGCTCGTCCACTACTGAAGTGCAGTCCTGCTCCAGAACCTGAGTGTTGCGTGTGCATCAGTTTTACAGATCTCATTCTCTTGAATACAGACTGTTGGTTCCTTGCCTCTCCGGCAGATGCACTCCGACTTCAAAGGAAGCTCCCCAATTAGTCGACTCTTACGACATGCTTTTGGGGAGGCAGCGGGTCTATTCTTGTTTTCCCCACAATGGGGCCCCGGAACCCTCACGGGGGGGCCCTGGAAGTAAAGGTGGCTGTCGTATTGTGGACCACATCAGCAATGTAATGCTCATTGGTCTATGAAATATAGGCCTAGCCTTATATGCCCAATACTCCGAAAGGTGTGGAAACGGGTCTTTTTCTATTAAAAAAAAGAGGGTACATCTGTGTAAGAATAGCAAACCACACCTGTGAGTGAGTCAAAGAAAAATGTTTAAGATTTCGTTTCTTTCCTGCTGCAGCTTATAGGTGTTAGTCATGGAATCGCAATCACTCTTTGAAGAGAAAATCTGAGCTTTTTAACTAAAATGCTCATGGAAATTCTTAAAATGCCGTGAACCAAGAAGAAACACTGACATCCTACATGATCTGAACATAAAGGAGATTTGGCTCATAAACAGCATTTTGGACTACATTAAGCATCATTGTGGCTGGGGAGAGAACTCTGATGGAGTTTCCAGAAAACGAGACAGAGATCAACATCCGCGAATGTTGATACAAGATACTGAAGATTTGTTGACTATGAAGGCACATAGGGTTGGAGAATTGGTTAAAGAGAGAAAGACTCAGGCGTGCCGTGAAGAGAGTGACGTTCCGTAAAGGATCTGCCAATTGATAACACTGGTAAATAGAATCAAAGACTCCTTAAATATGGATCATGAACCACAAAATGAGAACCACAGTGCTATAGGATACTTATCTTCTTGTGTAAAAGCTGTTACATAAGCCATCTCGGTACACCTTACGTTTCCAGACCCATCTTAGTCAGCTCCGCCCACCTACACACTTATTTTTGACGGAGTCCGGTCAGGGTACTGTGACTGGACGTTCAGTCTCTGCCTCAACCTTTAAGAGGCGCAAGGGTTTAAGTCGCAGGGGTCTCAGATCGGTCGACGCTCCTACGGACAAAGACGCGTGCTCAGTATTACACAGCACCTCTAACTACTGCACAACATGTACAACTAATCCTAACCCCAAACTCCCGTTCCCGACACACTGAACCTAGTTCCGACAAGACAGTGCATTCTACGTGCTGTGGTTTCAGACTTCTTAACATGTTGCAGTGGCCCGCACAACGCTCTGTCGCGGCAGACAATCAACGCTACCCTCTGCAATGAACTCATTTCCTACTGAAAAATGCAGATGGCTTTCATATATACACCAACAAAGACTAGTACTGCTCACGGGCATCTACGCAATGTCGACGGCCGCTACACCCTGGATAAAAATTAACACATATCACAGAACACTGTGTGAATAATTAAGCAGTGGCTCAGCTCTCTAACCTTGACAGAAGTTGACTCGGCCGACCAAGTATAAATGAAAACTTGCGTTGTATGTAAATGGGCGGAGTTGACCCAGATGGGCCCAGAAACGTGAGATGTTCCGCCATTTCTACCACAATTTTACTGTAACCTCTACTGACCCACACTGTTACTAAAGGTACAAAGATTTACTAGATGTGTGTAACAAGCGTGTGGAACTTGTTTTCCACATGGTGGCACCTACACAGTGAAATGTCACTTTCCTAGTTTATTCTAGAAGAGTCGTTGTCTGTGGCTTAGGCGTGGCGAACGCACTTCGTAATTCAAAAATACCCGGTTTGATTCAACAGCTGCAGGTTATTTGGCAACAGACCGCTTTGTGTTGATTTCGACAATAGTTATAGAGTGTCGACCGTTTAGAGGCCATACGTAAATTTCTGCTCGTAAAATGGATTAGTAAAATTATAGTTACACAATGCTGGGGTTGTTCGTGCAACGTCCTGTAGGGATACTCAACAAACTTCTTCCCTGCGAGTTGAATCATGACCAAATGTTGAAACAGCCGAAAGGAATGGGTGAGTTATATCGAGGGAGACAACAGCGAGGGAAAACAAAGCGATATCACAATGTAGGAAGGATTGTAATGAGTTGGTTGAGAACATATGCTTCACTGAGGGATAAATGCAGAGGATTACGAAGAAGGTACGATTTTGTTCTAACAACAGTGTTGACTGTATTCAGGTTCCAGAGTTGGTCGAGGTTCTGTGCTGATCCCTGCTGTATGAGGTCTGTCGAGCTTGTCCCAGGTTGGCAGCCGATGTTCCTTCCAGTAAATCGTCCTCAACCTCTCCATCACCTTCACCTTCAGCATCGCCCAGGTTACCGTTGCTGTAGTCGTATGGCGGGAAGTTGAAGAGGGCGCCTTTGGCTTGTCGACCCTCGTCAGCGCTACCTTCCTCTTCTGGGACTGGGATGAGGCGACGTTGGGCATCAAACTGGGCCTGGGGGCCAAATCTCCGAGACGTCAGCGGGGAAAACGGCCTGATGATAAAAGAAAAAAGCACATTTTAACCATTTCGGCACCATATAAACTTAAAACCAAATCAACTTGAGTTTAATAATTGCTCTATGTAATCACCATCATCTTCATCGTCATCATTATCATCATATAAGGGTCATATGCCATGTAGATAAAACGTTGGCGGTGTTGATCCGTCATCCCACACGATGATCAGAACCACAACATAAGACCCGTCCACACAATATAAGACCCGTCCACACAACATAAGACCCGTCCACACAACATAAGACCCGTCCACACAACATAAGACCCGTCCACACAACATAAGACCTGTCCACACAACATAAGACCCGTCCACACAACATAAGACCCGTCCACACAACATAAGACCCGTCCACACAACAAAAGACCCGTCCGCACAACATAAGACCCGTCCACACAACATAAGACCCGTCCACACAACATAAGACCCGTCCACACAACATAAGACCCGTCCACACAACATAAGACCCGTCCACACAACATAAGACCCGTCCACACAACGTAAGACCCGTCCACACAACATAAGACCCGTCCACATTGCACTATAAGTTTCTTGGTAACCATATTTTTTGGGTGCCCCGGTACAGCTACGGTGTTGTATGGCTATACAGTTAAACTGGGTTTCCGGGGCTTGTACATGTGTGCTTCTCATCCTTGGGATGTTAATCTTACAGCAAGCAGCCAGCGGATTATTGCCAATTGTATGAAATGATATAGTTATGCCGCCCAGCTACTGGGACTGACACTGTGAGCTTGGGACTTCATTTGGAATGCTTGTTGATTATGCCCAGCGTGGCTTGTGATGTGAACTGCCGATTCGAGAAAATGGCGAACGGCCTGTTGCCAGAAAGCTGGTGGTTAGTTTTGTGATTAATTATTTGTAGCTGTTGCTTCCATTGACGATAAACTACATTTCTACAGCCGGACTGTTTGTGTTAGCATATCTGACGGCTGCCTTATGTATTTAATGTGTGGGTATGCTATTGGTTTTGCTTAGACTGCAGTCTGTGTCGATTAACAAGGAACGCTGATGGACATTCTGTGTGGTTTTCGTTGGCACAGGAGTGGAGCAACTATGGTGGTGACCTGATTGCTGGGAAGTTGAAACTGCGAATGCACAAATACCTAATTTTAAGACCATCCAACCCACTTGCTCTCCGTCTGGCACTTCCTTTTTTTTCTCTGATCTTCGACGTCGTCACCAAGTTCTCCAGCCTCTCTTTTTCCACAATGACCAAAGAAAACAGCTATTAACTTTCTTTTTGCAACGTATAGTGTTCTTTCTTTCGCGCGGTCAAACCAATCGTTAGTTACTCTGGCATTTCAGAGACTTTGCAATTGAGGAATCTCTTTCCGGCTTCTTATAAGTTCTTTTCTTATCTGCTTGTTCATATTTAGGATTCAGTCTGATGTAGAAGATTTGGTTCCTCAAAACATTTAAAGTTTTTTGTTCTTTCTTTTTTTGTTGTAAAGATCAACAGTGCTCTCTCTCTCTCTCTATCTCTCTCTCTCTCTCTCTCTCTCTCTCTCTCTCTCTCTCTCTCGGTGTCTCTGTCTCTGTCTGTCTGTCTCTCTCTCTCTCTCTCGGTGTCTCTGTCTCTGTCTGTCTGTCTCTCTCTCTCTCTCTCTCTCTTTCTCTCTCTGATTCACTGTCTGCCTCACCTTGTCTCATCCCGTACCCGTGTGCTGTTTGTTTCTGTCTCTCTCGCAAACTATATGTGTCAGTCTCTCTCCTTCCTATCATAATTCCCTCTCAATTATACTTTCCCTATATGTCTATTTGTCTGTCTGCCTCTCCGTGCCTGTCTCTCCTTGGCTGTCTCTCTTTGTGTGTCTCCCACTGTCTCCAACTTAACAAGTCTCTCTGAGTCTATCTATTCCCGCATGTCCCTTTCTGTATGCCTTGTCTGTTTATCTATTTGATTCACATTATCACAGATTTCCGGGCATAACTAATCGAATTAACGCACGACAAACTTACACAAAAGCCCTGTTGTCCCCTCGAAGCTCCAAGGCCCTCAGATCCGGCTGCACCTCCATGGTGGTCAGCCCAGGCTTGGCCAGGTCATCATAGCTGATCGCGGTGTCTATGGAGTCCAGCCGTCTGCTGGTGGAAAGGGTAAGAGTTAGATAAGCAAAAACAGGCAGACATGCAAACAGACTTACATACATAGGGATTTTTTTTTTTTTAATATCCCGAAACCACGAGTTGTTAACCCTGTGGCTTGGTACTATGCATATCGCAACCCTTCGGCCTTGATTCCATAATATATACCGTAAATCTGGGAGAAATGTGGCTTTTCTGCCTACCCCCGAGCGTGAACACGGACCACAAGGAGTTTGTCACCCGGTCACCGCGAAGTCAGGTTTAACCCACTACGCTAGCGAGCCTGGCTCACATATATAAGGATAAACACACCCGCAGGCAAACATACATGACGACATCAATCAACAGGGCCTCACAGTTTGAGCTGCAGTCTCTCTTGCTCTAGCAAATTCCCCAGCCCTGTCTGCTTCAATTTCTTATATCCACGTTCTTGAAGGGTTGCCTCTGTCTCGGTGTCCGGAAACTGAAACCTTTATCGCCATTCTCCCTTAGGCCACCAGGACGTTTAACATGGCCAGAACACACCAGCTTTCGGAAAACGATGCTGTTTATGAGCCAATTCTCCTCGATGTTTAGATCACGCAGGAAATCGGTGTCTTCCTGGTCCATGGTATCCTAAGAATTTTTCTGTAACATTTCAGTTCAAAAGCTACAATTTTTTTTTTTCAATATCAAAGATTAGTGAGAGTATACAGCGACAACAGGAACTATTTTTAGTTAGGTGGAGGAATATTCAAGCAAACAGGCATACAGGAGGAATTTTAGTGGCCAAGTGATTAAGCTGATAGCCTCACACTCTCAGTGTCGTTGGTTCGCTTCATTGACTGTGTCTTTCCATTCAGGAGAGTAATTTAGAATAACTGCCAGCGTGATTGAAGATCCCTCTGGTTCGTCGGTAGAGCTATAGAGTTCGTAATTTATGCTATGCCTTTAGCAGACAGCTAGTCATTCTGGAAACTGAGAGCGAGCAGTATACATTTTATTTTAAACCCTGCATAATTAAGTCTATTCTGTCAACGCTAAACCTTTCAAAATGTTTAGGCACTCCAAATAGACAGAGAGGTTGAAGGACAGACAAACAGAGAGGCAAGTAGAGAGTAACAGACAGACAAATAGACAAATATGATAACAAATGCAGAAACGAGAATTTAAAAAAAAAAAATACAGAAAAGAAGCAAAAGAAAGAAAGAAACAGCTTCCTTCGTCGCCATTAACGGTTTCATTGACTCCATAAAGGATGCGGACATCGTCGCGACTTCTAGCTTCCTGCCAGGAAATTGGGACGTCACTAAATCTTCTATTTCTGTTCAATTTCTTTTCTCTCAGTTCACTATTGGGCACGATGACTGTGGCTTCTCTGCGGACTTTCGTTAGTCGATGCGTCAGCAAATTAAACCAGAAACACACGTGCGCAAGCACAAGAGATTGATAGAGAGAGGCCACAATTCTGGAATTAAAATGTCATTAACAAAGGAGACTTTTCACGAACTCGCCCACAGGACGAGAGTTTCTTCCCTTCCCATTCATGCCTTGGCGGATCGCCCAATCTGTTTGTGTGTGTGTGTGTGTGTGTGTGTGTGTGTGTGTGTGTGGGGGTGTTATGCGATGTTTTTCGTCGAAATTCGCTCGAGGTATATGACGTTTGTGGTAGGTTGTGTTGTTGTGAGTCTCTTTGAGGCACCCCATGTGCCGTGCAGAAGTAACAAATACTGCAGGGGTAAGCGCCGAAGGCGTGACTGTTTGTGAATGTCGAAACTGTGATGTTTTGTATTTCTACGTTCGCAGGAAGGTAGGAATTCAAAAACATCGCAGTTTCTATACGAACCACCAGGCAAGTACCACAATGTGGAAGTAATCATGCAAGTGAGGAGCGACAACGGTTAAAGCGTTGAAAATAAAGAATACACGATCCCCCCCCCCCCCCCATGACATCTATCTATCTATCTATCTATCTATCTATCTATCTATCTATCTATCTATCTATCTATCTATCTATCTATCTATCTATCTATCTATCTATCTATCTATCTATCTATCTATCTATCTATCTATCTATCTATCTATCTATCTATCTATCTATCTATCTATCTATCTATCTATCTATCTATCTATCTATCTATCCATCCATCCATCTATCTATCTATCTATCCTATCCATCCATCCTATCTATCCATCCATCCATCCATCCTATCTCCAGCCATCATCATCCATCCTCATCTCCATCTCCATCCATCCATCTGTCTCCATCCTGTCCATGTCTCCATCTGTCTGTCTGTCTATCTGTCTATCTGTCTGTCTATCTATCTATCTATCTGTCTGTCTGTCTGTCTATCTATCTATCTGTCTATCTATCTCTATCTGTCTGTCTGTCTGTCTGTCTGTCTGTCTGTCTGTCTGTATCTGTCTGTCTGTCTCTGTCTGTCTGTCTGTCTGTCTGTCTGTCTGTCTGTCTGTCTGTCTGTCTGTCTGTCTGTCTGTCTGTCTGTCTGTCTGTCTGTCTGTCTGTCTGTCTGTCTGTCTGTCTGTCTGTCTGTCTGTCTGTCTGTCTGTCTGTCTGTCTGTCTGTCTGTCTGTCTGGCTGTCTGTCTGTCTGTCTGTCTGTCTGTCTGTCTGTCTGTCTGTCTGTCTGTATTTTTATCTGAGTGTTTGTGTCTCTGTGGGAGTGTCCGTGTGTGCATGTGTCTGTCTCCATGCATGACTGGATTTATGACTGTATGTGTGTATGCCTGTATTACGTATGTATGTATGAATGTATGTATGTATGCCTGTATGTTTGTATCTATGTATGTATGTTTGTGTGTACGTATGCCTGTGTGTATGTGTGTATGCATGTTTGTTTATATGTATCTGTGTATGTATGTATGTAAAGTATGCATGCATGTTTGTGTGTATAAGTGAGTGGGTGAGCGTGTGTATGCGGGTGTATGTATGCACGCGCGGGTTTTTGCATGCACTTTACAACTCATGCTTTTGTGTTCTGTTATAATATTCATAATATGCATAACATCATATGATCATAACATGCTTTATTAGTAAAATACAACTGCTGTGCGAAAGATGGTTGACTGGAAGGGACGAATTTAAGACGGGCGTGCGTGCCCAATTTGTGAATCTTTGAAAATAAAGTTCGTTCGTTCGTTCTGTCTGTCTGTCTGTCTGTCTGTCTGTCTGTCTGTCTGTCTGTCTGTCTGTCTGCCTGTCTGCCTGTCTGCATGTTCTTCACCTGTCAGTCTTAATTCCTGCCAGAAGTCAGTCTTTCCTCTATCTGTCTAACTGCCCCCCTCCCAGGCCTTGTTATTTGTCTGCATATTGAGCGATCAATCGGACGCTGTGTCTGTCTACGTTCCCCTGGCTGTCAACAGAAAACACCCACACGTCTGCTATTCCATATTTCACCATCTTCTGTCAGCTGTGACATTCTATACCTTCTATCTGTCACACACAATTTATTTCCGGATTGCACACACATATAACATTCAGAACCCACAGATAGAAACACCAGCCATCTTCATTTTCAAGGAAGTGTTAAACGCCTCAGGCAGCTCCAGTTTCTTGACGTAGGCGGGCAGAAGACAAAGGGAAAAGCCGACCTAGTTATCGATCTGTCATAAGTCTGTAATGTTTAATGTCAATCCGCTGTAGCGAAGCCAAATCTAACATGACAGATAAACATCTCTTTTATCTTTAACTCATGTTGTCCCTGTGGGTTTAAAGATCCACATCTCTTTTATCTTTAACTCATGTTGTCCCTGTGGGTTTGAAGATAAACATCTCTTTTATCTTTAACTCATGTTGTCCCTGTGGGTTTGAAAATAAACATCTCTTTTATCTTTAACTCATGTTGTCCCTGTGGGTTTGAAGATCCACATCTCTTTTATCTTTAACTCATATTGTCCCTGTGGGTTTGAAGATAAACATCTCTTTTATCTTTAACTCATGTTGTCCCTGTGAGTTTGAAGATCCACATCTCTTTTATCTTTAACTCATGTTGTCCCTGTGGGTCTAAAGATCCACACCTCTTTTATCTTTAACTCATGTTGTCCCTGTGGGTTTGAAGGTCATGCGTTCAGGTCCTGACAGAGAGGGGTTTTTCTCTCAAAAATGACCCTGTCTCCCTTGTCGATACAGACTTACGCCGGTCCGAGAAACAGTTCAGGAAAGTAAAGGCGGTCGGTGGGATGTTCCCACGTCACCCACCGAGTGTCGATTGGTGTATAAAATATAGGTCTAGACCTATATCATAGGTGTTGCGAGTCAGACTCGTAATTCCAACTTACCGCGATCGTAACCAGCTGCTGGCTGCATGGATTTTTATCATGGTGTGGGGCGTCGCGGGTCGACCCAGCCCTAAATGGGTACCAGGATGACCACATTACCCACCCAGTGCTGATTGGTCTGTAAAAATGTGGGTGCTCTTCCCCTATGCCCGATGCACCTAAAGGCGTGAAAAGGGATCTTAACTTTTTCTTCTTTTTTTTTCACTAGCCCTATATGCCCAATACGCCTGAATGCAAGGAAAGAGATCCTTTCCTTACCGTTACTTTACTTACATGTTGTCTGAGTTAGTTTTTACGGTTTTTTTTTTCACTAGCTCTGTATGCCCAATACGCCTGAATGCAAGGAAAGAGATCCTTTCCTTACCGTTACTTTACTTACATGTTGTCTGAGTTAGTTTTTACGTTTTTTTTTTCTATTGCACTGTAAAAGTCATGTAAAAAGTACGGCACCTGTTTTCCGACAGTGGCGATCATTAGTCATCATCATCATCATCATCATCATAACCACTTCTGCCGTTAAGCGCCGTGGGGAGGAATAATTTGCGATCCAGTGTACGTTGACTGACTGATACTGGCTATTGTCATTCAGTGAAGGCGTAGAGTGTCTCTAAAGTTGTCCATCCATGTTTTCCGCGGCCGTCCTCTTGCTCTTGTAGCTGATCTTCTGAGATTTAGTGCTTGTAATGGTATTTGATCTTGAGGCATTCTAACGATATGGCT